ACATCGCAGCATGGTGTGACGCAGAACGTGATGATGTCACCACATTGACGCAATTCATCCACCAATCATAGCGGACTTTGTTAGTTCTGATGAAGTCCGCGATGATTGGCGGACGAAACGCGTCAACGTAGTGACATCACATTCTGTGTCACACCATGCTGCGATGTCCATGAGGGGAAAGAGGCACGCCATACGCCTTCATCTTGGATTTACACTGGGCAAGACGGAAACCGCGAGTAGTTGGGATGACTCCCGGGAATTCATGTAATTATATGTGGCGATATACCACTTCCACCAGTGGCAAGTACATTTTTGAATAGAGCTAAGTCATATCTTGCAATATATATATATATTAACGGGACTTTATGTTCTGAACCTCATTAAGGAACTCCAGTACTCTTATTTATAGAGAAATGTTTGGGCCTTTCATAGATGAATACTATTTTTTTGTCTTGCGATAAGCATTACTATATGGAAAATGGGACTTTCTGTCCAAAAATCTTTTAAGGAACCGCCTTGCTCTTACATAGAAGAGGAATGTTTGGAGCCTTTAGAAGGCTATTTACATATATGTCCAGCGCAATTTTGCAAATTCAAGCCTTACCTACAACATTATATACAATTTTTGGCATTTAGGAGGATCTATACCTCTCATCTCTAAAGGGTCTAAACGATCCATATCCTTTAAGTGGAAACAATGATGATCTTTATCAGGATTTATCATTATTGTAATCCACTGAATGCATCCTATTTAAGGAATATCGGCCGATTGAAGCTGGCCATATACAATGCAAATTTTTTTACCAACCTATGTGATGATGATGAATTGCAAAGAAGGAGTTTTATCGCTCATTCTTCATCATTCCATATTGATGATTATATGAAGGAAGTATGCTGACACTTCAAAAACAGAAGAGAAACAATAAGAAATCTAAATTGTGAAGATTTACCTATACTTGGATTCAACTGCCCTGGACTTCCTTTAATATAATTATAGAAGATTTTTTGCCCAATACTCATTTCAGCTTTACCAGCCATCTACAGTGAAGGAAATAAGTATTTGATCCCCTGCTGATTTTGAATGTTTGCCCACTCACAAAGAAATGATCAGTCTAAAAATTGAATGGTAGGTGTATTGTAACACAGAGACAGAATAGCAACAAAAAAATCAAAAGAAATGCATGTCTAACAAATTATGCTCTGATTTGCATGTTCATGAGGGAAATAAGTATTTGATCCCCTATCATTCAGCATGATTTCTGGCTTCCAGGTGTCTTTCATACAGGTAACAAGCTGAGATTAGAAGCAGTCTCTTAAAGGGAGTGCTGCTATTCTCATTGTGTTACCTGTATAAAAGACACTTGTCCACAGGAGCAATGAAACAATCACATTCCAAACTCTCCACCATGGAAAAGACCAAAGAGCTGTCTAAGGATGTCAGGGACAAGATTGTAGACCTACACAAGGCTGGACTGGGCTACCAAACTATCGCCAAGCAGCTTTGTGAGAAGGTGACAACAGTTGGTGCAATCATTCACAAATGGAAGAAACATAAAACAAGTGTCAGTCTCCCTAGGTCTGTTGCACCATGCAAGATCTCACCTAGTGGAGTGTCAATGATCATGAGAACAGTGAAGAATCATCCCAGAACTACACGTGAGGATCTTGTCAATGATCTCTAGGCAGCTGGGACCACAGTCGCCAAGAAAAACAATTGGTAACACACTACACCGACAAGGATTGAAATCCTGCAATGCCCGCAAGGTCCCTCTGCTCAAGAAAGCACATGTCCAGGCCCGTCTGAAGTTTGCTACTGAACATCTGAATGATGCAGAGGAAGACTGGTTGACAGTGTTGTGGTCAGATGAAACCAAGGTTGAACTTTTGGCCATAATTCCAAAAGCTATGTTTGGTGCAAAAACAACACTGCACATCACCAAAAGAACACCATACCCACAGTGAAGCATGGTGGTGGCAGCATCATGTTTTGGGGCTGTTTTTCAGCTAGAACTGGCGCCTCAGTCAAAGTAGAGGGATTTATGAACCGTTCCAAATACCAGTCAATATTAGCACAAAACCTTCAGGCTTCTGCTAGAAAGCTGAACATGAAGAGGAACTTTATCTTTCAGCATGACAATGACCCAAAGCATACATCCAAATCAACAAAGGAATGCCTTCACCAGTAGAAGATTAAAGTTTTGGAATGGCCCAGCCAGATCCCAGACCTGAATCCAATCGAAAATCTGTGGGGTGATCTGAAGAGGGCTGTGCACAGGAGATGCCCTCACAATCTGACAGATTTGGAGTGTTTTTCCAAGGAAGAGTGGGCAAAAATTGCCAAATCAAGATATGCCATGCTGATAGACTCATACCCAAAAAGACTGAGTGCTGGAATAAAATCAAAAGGTGCCTCAACAAAGTATTAGTTTAAGGGTGTGCACACATGTATATAACTGAACCATATTATTTTAGTTTTTTTTATTTTTACTTCTTTCCACCTAAAAGATTTCAGTTTGTTTTTTCAACTGAGTTGTACAGTTTATAGGTCGCATTAACTAGTTGCCGACCGCAGATAGCCGAATGACGGCTGCACTGCGGCCGGCCAGTTCTGGGTGGACGTCAGTGCCCAGCAGTGCCGCCCACCTGTGCCTAGCAGTGCCACCCACCAGTGCCCATCAGTACCACCAACTTGTGCCACCCACCTGTGCCCAGCAGTTGCGCCAGTCAGTGCCAGCAGTTGCGCCAGTCAGTGCCGCCTATCAGTACCCATCATCAGTGCCGCCTATCCGTGCCACCTCATTAGTGCTGCCTCATCAACGCACATCAGTGAAGGAGAAAAAGCACCGGAGGGACGGAGCTCTGGATCCTGGCTGATTACCATACCATCTGTAAAGGGGATCTCCGGACTTTTCTCATACATCTCCAGGCTGAATGATTTACAGAGTTGGAGCTTATTCTCTTCATTTCCATAGCATTCCAGGGGATATTTATTATATGCGCATTTCCCATGTGCGTCCGGTGAGTGCGCACTCTTTCCATTGTCTCCGGGCTTTACCAGCTATTCCTTGGGATTCGTTAATATATACATCTATTTAATTATTACGGACTTTTTTCGTTTGTATTTATTATTTTTTAGCGCTGCACTCTGTTTTTATCTGTTACTTGTGGGTATACTGTGATTACCTTTAGTGCCATGCTGCTTACTTAGGAGCGCTCACTTTATACCATTTACATTAGAAAAATTACCTGTTTGCAAAATTTTATAATAGAAGCAAAGAAACTTTTTTTTTTTTTTCTTTTTTGTTTTATAGCGCAAAAAGTAAAACACCCAGCGGCGATTAAATACCACCAAAAGAAAGCTCTATTTATGAAAAAAAATGATAAAATTTCATATGGGTACAATCTTGCATGACCGCGCAATTGTCATTCAAAGTGCGACGGTGCTGAAAGCTGAAAATTGGCCTGGTAAGGAAGGGGGTATAAGTGCCTGGTAGGCAAGTGGTACTTACCTGAGCTGTACAATAGTTTTGCACAGAGCCGGCCCAATCTTTCTCTTTTGGGGTCCCCCGCTGGCGCTTCTGGCTCCTCCTGCATTTAGAGTGCCGTTCAAGCAATCTTTATTTTTTTTTCACACACACACACACACACACACACACACACGCACACACACTGCTCCAATAAAATAAATAAACACTTTTTAATCGGAGTATAGCATCAAGTCAATTAAACTCCTGGGATATTGATCTGAGGGGGTTGTTAATCTGTTTCAGCTGCTTTGGTGTTAATGAAATTAACAACAGGTGCACTAGATGGGCAACAATGAGTTGACCCCCAAAACAGGAATGGTTTTACAGGTGGAGGCCACTGACATTTGTTTCCCTACTCCACCTTTTCTGACCTTTTTTCACTAGTTTTGCATCTGGCTAGGGTAAGTGTCACTACTGGTAGCATGAGACGATACCCAGACCCTGCAGAGGTTACACCGGCAGTCCAACTCCTCCAGGATGGCACATCAATACGTGCCATTGCCAGAAGGTTTTTTTGTGTCTCCCAGCACAGTCTCAAGAGCATGGAGGAGATTCCAGAAGACAGACAATTACTCGAGGAGAGCTGGACAGGGCCGTAGAATGTCCTTAACCCATCAGTAGGACCGTTATCTGCTCCTTTGTGCAAGGGGGAACAGAATGAGTACTACCAGAACCCTACAAAATGACCTCCAGCAGGCCACTGGAGTGAATGTCTCTGACCAAACAATCAGAAACAGACTTCATGAGGGTGGCCTGAGGGCCCAACATCCTCTAGTGGGCCCTGTGTTCACTGCCAGGCACCATAGAGCTTTATTGGCATTTGCCATTGAACACCAGAAATTAGCAGGTCCACCATTGGTGCCCTGTGCTTTTCACAGATGAGAGCAGGTTCACCCTGAGCACATGTGACAGACGTGAAAGGGTCTGGAGAAACCATGGAGAACATTATGCTGCCTGTAACATCGTTCAGCATTACTGTTTTGGTGGTTACTGCATCGGGTTCATGTAAATCCTGCAAAGCGCATGGAACTTTGCATAACAAATGGTGGAAATCACATTGAAGATGTTATTGAATATAATTCCAATGAAATAATATGTTATTGAAAATATGCATTTTGCCTGTGTCCAGACTTTAGGGGCACCCTGTAGTTTAAAATGCCCCTATAGTAAGGTAAAATTTAAAAAAAAAAAATTCTGCCCTTTTAATCACTTTAAATCACTTCCTTCTCCTGCCTAGGACTACACAAATTTTCAGGCACGTTTGAGCTGTATGTGTGCTGCACTGTATTTCCTGATTTGTGAACAGATGATGCATTCTGTATGCATGTCAACTGATCGGCTGACCAACTAATCGATAATGAAAATAGTTAACTATTTTTTTGTTTCTTTAATATCTGCTGAAATATGTTATTACTAGTAGTAGGTTTTCCTTGTTTTGAGAATTTTTTTGTTTTGTTTTTTTTTTCTTGTGCAGATGTCATCAGATGAAGAGACTACTAGAAGTCCTGATTTACCAAAAGATTCAGACCATGGTAGTTCAGTGTCTTCGGATTTCCAGGTAACATGCAACTGTAAAGTGTTAAAGAAAACTATTTGGCCCTCTTCCCTGTTTTGTCTTTTATTTTGTTTTTACAGTATTCAAATATTCCCATAGACACACTTCTAAACCTTGTGGACGGCCTTCCCAGAAGAGTTGAAGCTGTTCTAGCTGCAAAGGGCAGGCCAACTCAATATTGAATCCTATGTACTAAGACTGGGATGCCATTAAAGTTCATGTGCGTGTAAAGCCAGGCGTTCCAATACTTTTGGCAATAAAGTGTATATTTTACAGTCTGCAAGTAGTATTAAAGTAGAACTAAACTCTCCTATCCTGTACATCCAAGGAAGCTGCCATCTTAGCCTCTGATCTGCGGTTGTCATGGATCTTCACATGTGATCGATTATCACACCAGTCAGTTGATGGCTTGACATTTCAGCTGAGAACACAAGCAATTGTGACAGTTATCATTCACCGAGTGCCTTGAATAGTTTTATTAACTGTTGACCCTGCCAGTAGAGCAAATATTTTTTCACTTTCTGTAAAAGAATGACATCGTTTTGTTGTAAAATTAAATTGGGCAGGAGTATTGTCACCATGTTGACAGGGTATAGACATGTAGTTTTAAATGAAAATTGCCTGTTTACAGAAGGTTGAAAAAGGGTATCTGCTGGCAGGACCAACAGCTAATAGAGCAGAGTGTACTAAAAAAAAACCCACCAAAAAATGTTGTGTTATGATAGCATCAGATACGTCATTTTTGAATTTGTCCATAGGTACACTTTAAGATCCAAATCAAACATTGTGTACCAAAATCTTTCAAATTGATATATAATCATGTGTTAGAAAAATCAGCCACCTACATTCACAGGCCCAAGAAACAAGATTAAGCAATATATAAATAAAAGCTCCTACACAATTGGAAGTGGGATGCCATTACAGTGACAAAAATGTGTGACTAATTTCCATATTGTATGATATGTCTGTGAGCAGGTATAAGTGTTCATAGGTAGTATGTTTAGATTACGACCTCCACTCAAAACTATTGAACGTAAAAGAGTAAAAGTATGGCCACAGCCTTTTATTGTCCTTACTGCTCTTGTGACCTGTGTTCTCCAGAATCAGCCAATAGCAGGCTGACAAGACAGAGCCACTCCAGGCTCTGGAAGGATCCCAACTGTACCCACCACATCCCATGCTCAGCACTCCATTGAGCACTAGACAAGCTGAGCGGAGAGCATTGACTGATGATCACTGCTCTCCCTTCTGAGCAGACCAAGAATTAAATGATCAGTGATCATGTGATTGATCAGTTTTTGGTCTTAGAGCCAACATGGGAAAGCTGCAGCAGTACATCAGTGCTGCAACATAAAGGTGGCAATGAATTATTTTTTCTATAAACCCCAATGAAGTGCCCTGCATTCATAAGTACTGATAAACAACATACGGACAGGAGGAGAAAGCAAGGAAAGGAATTCATCAGTCTGCTGTTGCTCTTTTACTAACCAATCAAAAGTCATGTTACCAGGTTGTCTGTGCTGTCTGGTATAACTGTGTATTTCTCAGTACTGGATTGAAAGAATTACCAATCCTGTGACAGATAAAATATTTGTAGCAGAGAGGCACTTGATTGGCTCCTAGTGCTGCCTTTCCCTCTCCTGGTCCGATTGCTGCTGTACAAGAGCAGATTACAAGAGCCTGCTACCAAGTCAGATGTAGATATTTATACTAGTTATATTTAAAACAAAATGATTTTATAATTACATAACTACATCTGATTTTTAACATATGCCTGTAATAAATTTAAACATTTTAAATTGTGTATAAAAATTGTAACTGTATATAGTGGAAATGTTTATTTATTCTAATGGTCCTTTCTGTTTGACAAGTGAATTACTAATGCTGTATGCTGAGCATATTCCTGAAAAGAATGGTTTAATCTGCTTTCCTGCAGTGCCTCTTGTCCTAGAAATGACATCCTTCTCATTTCACTACATGGTTAAGCAGTTCCTATTATTCTGACTCTTTTATGACAGGATGAATATGACCAGCTTCTTCGTTACGCTGTGGTAACTCCAAAGTTTGGGTCTCATTTCCTCAGGGAACATCAAATGACTGCTGAGCAAACCACAAGTGACAGGTTTTCAAGTCCCAGAGAATCTGTGTGCGAGCAGGCTCCAGGTATAACGTATACGCTGGCTCCACTGTATGATCACTGCTTGATGATCATTTTCCATACAGAACGTTGTACTTGCTTGTTTTTTACTCTATTTAAGCTGTATATACTGTAATTTTATTATTTGCTGCTTTTGTTGATATTCTAAATGAATGAGAAGTTAACACATCCTCTGCATCAAACAAACTTCAGCATGAGAAATGTCTGCAGGTTTACGGCATAGTTACTATTTCAATTAAGGCTGAATTTGGAGCACAAACATTTTTATGTAACTATATTCTTCAATAGCCACAAAAGATGGAATACACGTTGCAAGTGCCAAATAGCTTTGCAAACCTAGATATTACCTTGTAAAAGTAGCAGTGACTTTATTGTGCTAAATGTTGTTTCACCAAGTAGACTTTTGCACAACAAAAATGCTACATCATATCAACATTTTAACTTAAAGCAGAACTCCTGACAAAAACATCTTTACATGTCTTTGTTGCTGATTTCCTACCGTCACTGAATATGTCATCCATCTTCTGTTGCTCTGAAATAGCCTTTTATTTTCAAATCAAACTGTTAATTCTTTTTGGTTTCCTGTTTGTAAGACCAGTGGCTGCTATGCCTCCTATTCCCCCAGACACTGGTCTTGGCACATCCCTTCTGTAGTTCTTTCTCCAGGCAGCACTCATGTAATTCAGCCCCACTTGCAGTGGTGGGAGGACCATCACTCTCAGACAAATTCAACTTGTACAGGCCTTGTGTACCTACCCACCCACATTCACTACAATTCCCTTTTGTTGATTGGAACTGTAGTTTCCTTTTACTGCAGAGAGAGAGGAGAGGATATGATGTAATCCCTGCTGTTACTCCTCCTCCTTGGCAGAACAGATGCGGTTATCTTTTGAACTACAGAAATGAATGAAAATTCAGTCAGACTTTTCTCCTAAATGTTAAGGATTTACATTTTATTTTTTAAACTGTTTTGTGTAGAGGAGTGTACTAATGGGTGATTTTTTATTTTTTTTCCTAGTTCAGAGTTCTTCTGTAATGTATATGTGAACCCATACCTTTTTTTTAACCAACACAATCACTTCAACCACTTGCCTACTGGGCACTTTTACCCCCCTTCCTGCCCAGTCCACTTTTCAGCTTTCAGAGATATCGCACTTGAATGGCACAGTCATGCAACACTGTACCCAAACTACATTTTTATAAAAAAAAAAATTTGAGACAGAGCTTTCCTTTGGTGTTATTTAATCACCACTGGGTTTTTCATTTTTTGCTAAACAAACTACAAAAGATTGAAAATAAATTTTTTTTAAGTTTCTGTTATCAAATGTTGTAAATAAGTAATTTTTCCCCTTCACTGATGTGCACTAATGAGGCTGCACTGATAGGCTGCATTGACAGGCATCACTAGTGAGCATTGACAGGCATCACTGGGCACTGAAAGGCGGCACTCATATATGGCACTGATGGGCAGCCCTGACTGGCACTGATAGGCAGCACTGAAAGGCAGCTCTGATTGGCACTGATATGTGGCATTGATGGGCACTGACAGGTGGCACTAATGGGGCTACACTGATCATCAGGGTGCGCGTGAGGAGAGGACTGAAGATAACCAACATTTCCTATTTACATGCAATCAGCTGTGATTGGATACAGGTGATCACATGATAGAGACTATTTCATCGGCACTTTACTGCAATTGGAGATCCGCTGTGTCCCAGGGACACCGCGTACCACTGATCGCTGGGGCGTGCATGCGCAGTTAGAGTGGGAAGACGTCATATGATGTCCTTCCAGAAGGAGAGGACCGCCACACGTCCATTATTTCCTTATATTGCGGGTGGGAGGCAGTTAAGAGGGACTGGTAGGAACACCAGGGATTTCACACAAAGGAAGCAATACAGAGAGGACAGGATACTTTTTCAAACAAATACATGGTACAGCAGGGATAAATCAATAATATGAAGTGTTGGGTTTACATATTCTTTAAAATCAATCAATAATGAATTTGTATACAAATGAGTAGACACTGTTCTTTTAGACCCCTTTCACACTGCCACTCTGCAGTTTGGCCACAGCACAGTGTACCCGTGGTTTTTGTGCAGGTCACCTGTGGTTTCCCATAGACTTTCTATTATGGCCCACGTTTTTGTGAGTTTTTCTGAAAGTGCACCAAAAGTCCTGCATGCTGCATCTGTATTCAGCCTGGAGTGGCTCTGTGACACCAGTCCGACAGCAGGCTATAGGCTGTACTTCTCCTTTTAAGAAGAAAAAAAATATAGTGTGCTGAAGTGAAGAGAGGGCATTGTTTGTATTAATGTGAGGGCATTAGAAGGATTGTAAAAGACCTGGTTACTTTTGGGCACTCGAGTAGTAATGGGGCATGCTGTGTGTGATACAGCGAAGAATGGGTGTAGCCAAATTGTATTAACAGTGGGAGGGGCTTAGAAGGGAGTGGTTAAAAAAAAACAAAAAGCCTTCTTGTACCCATAAAATATGCTAAGGTTGCTGTGTCACAAGTAAAGCCGGCCATAGACGAGCCGAAAACTGATCAAAAATTTCAAGTTGTTCGTTGTTCCAGCTGCAACACGCAATTTTCTTGTTGCAATCAAAAGTGCCTGATCCAACATAATGGATTTTTTTTCAGAGAAACAAATAATGGCACAAATGTGTGAGCTATTTTTGTTTTCTGAATGTTAGGTTTTCACGTAGTCTATGGCCATCCTAAGAATCTCAGACATGTACAAACCTCAGTACAATTATTTTTTTTTAAAACTGCAACTCGTCCATTACATATGATTTTGTGTACATTGAAAATAGTCAGAGAGCTAACAGTTTTCCTGAGTGTACCTTACAGAAGAGCTTCACTAGAATATTCAGGTTAGCAACCAGCAATTGTTGCAAAGACAATGAACACTTTGGTCAGACATATGTCATGTACAATCTAGTGTATATAGTGCAGGGTTTCTCAACCTTTTTACCTTAAAGGAACCCTTGGCAAAAGCTTTGAGATCTTGGGGAAACCATATTCACATATACAACTTATTGGTGTGATCAGCGAGCTGTTGATAAAACAAAAATTATTTTTAGAAATGGAATTAAGCCCTGGTTCACATCTGCGTGGTCATGCGAGACGCGATTTGCACAGGCACGAGAGCCCATTCATTTGAATGGACTCCCGTGCGCTGGCACACACAGGGAAGACGTCACTGCACTACGTGGAAATCGCAGCCCGCACGTGAACCGAGGTTCCCAGTATGGTTGCGATTTCCAGTGTGGGCGCAATGCCATTAGAATTAATTGCACCCGCCTGCAGGCCCCACATTCCTCTGTGCGGGTGGTGCGGCTGCAGGTATTTGTGCAGGTCCCACAGCGGCACCACCTGCGCAGATGTGAAACGGGTAAATAGAATCAATATTAAAGTGAAACTACTGTATTTATTGTGAAACTTGTGCTTGCTTTTTTTTTTTTTTTTTTTTTTCTGCATTGATGCTCAATTCTGGGTCAAACTTAAGATGAGCAGTATACAGGGAGGCAGCAGGGCAGAGCACGGGGTCAGCACGGCAAAGTATAGGGCTTAGCATGGCACATTACATAAGGGTCACTACAGAGCACATTTGTTGTGTGGGGAAGGGGGGGCACAGCAGGGTGCATTACGTCAGGCTCAGCAAGACACATTACATTGGGGGACAGTAAGTTACATTGCATTAGGGGGCTCAACAGGGCATATTGCATGGGATGCTCAGCAGGGCACATTACATGAGGGGCTGTGAAGAGCATATTTTTTAGGGGAGCAGCGGGGTACATTACATGGGGCTCAGTAGGGCACATTACATGGGGCGGACAGTAAAGTACATTGCATGAGGGGCTCAGCAGGGCACATTACATGGAGGGCAGCAGTCTGCCCCCCAGCACACTTTTTACAGGTCAGTCTGCACATTCCCTTAATAAATTCACAGGCTTAATCTAAGCAGCATAGGAAATTTATTTTTTCTCCTGTGCTCCCCATGGTTAGGCTAACTTTGGTGCCCCGCTCCCCAGGTGCCGCGGTTTTGAGGCGGTTGATAGGCATTTGCCAAGCGTTAAAACCACACAAACGCCTATAATTACGTTAAATGGTATTAATGCATCGCAAACGCCTGCCATGCGTTTGCGTATCGGCACCATAGACTTGAATGGGAGGCTTCAACTCCTCCTGACTCGACACGAGGCATCAGTTTTGCCACGACGCTAACGCTTCAGTGTGAACAGCACTGTGTGCTGCCATGTGCAGAATTTTCATAGGCGTTTGAGAAGCTTTAAAAACGCTTCCCAAACGCCTGTCTGACGCCTGCTGACAAAGCTAGTGTGAACTGAGCCTAGGGGGATCTGTGTGTGAATGTAAGTCAGGTCCTGTGATAGGAGCCCGGCAGCAGGTAGTGACAGGTGCAGCTGCGGAGGTTGCGACTTGTCTCCTTCCTGGGTGCAGTCTGGGTCAGATCTAAGCAGGTCCCCTTCACCCGGTTCTTGTGTGCCCTGCACACATGGATGTTATGCCACTGGATGAGGCTTATATTGCATTTTCCTGTGTATTCAGATTACATTATTGTCGTACATGCTAATATCATTACCTCATGTAGCTCTTCTTTTTTTTTTTTTTTTTTTTTTTTTTTTTTTATTACCCATTCTCTGAACATATTCTATTAATCCATGAAGCTGGAGCCAGGAGAACATAAACTATTAGTGTCATTTATATTGTTGAGATCATCATTCCTTTTTCTGCTGCAAATGTAAATTTGATGTAACAAAACATTCTTATGACTGTTCTTGTGACTTTATTGCCTTGCTTTCTTTTCATGTTATGTAAAACCTGCCAGCTACTTTCACCCTAGACATTTATATTACCAATAAATACGGAGATATATCTGTTTCCTCCTATTATATTATTTAACCCTTTAGTGGATTTAAATTCAAAACACAAATATAATGTATTACAGTTTTTTTTCAGTCTTTTCTTTATTTTCCTATTCTATCCTTTCACTGTACTGTATCTATGGAGGAGCAATGTCCTTACCCTAGGACAGGGGTAGGCAACCTGCGGCTCTCCAGCTGTTGTGGAACTACATTTCCCATGAGGCATTGCAACATTACAAAACTGACAGTTACAGCTATGACTTGCAGAGGCATGATGGAACTTGTAGTCCTGCAACAGCTGGAGAGCCGCAGGTTGCCTATCCCTGCCCTAGGAGAAGACTACAGACCACCTTCTTCGCTCAGTAACACTATTTGAGATTTCAGTGCAGCACAATGCATAATATGGTTAGAAGCTCGCTGGATTTCTGAGAGGATCAATTTTTTTTCGGTGCACTTAATGAACAGATCTAACAACTCCTCCTTCAATGGTATAATTACCAGACCAAAGGGGAGAAAATAGGAGACATTCTTTGTTAGGGTTTAGTTAAACTTTAAGCCTTACCTGGACTCTTTTGATTTGGATAGATTTAATAGTTTATGAACGTACTGTAGACAGACCTACACATGCAACCGTATTAAAGTATTCAGACCCCTTCACTTTTTTCAATTTTGTTATCTTGCAGCTTGATATTACAGTTCTTTAAATTGATGTTCTTTCACATTACTGTAATCTACACTCAGTACCCCATAATGACAGTGAAAACAGAATTTTAGAAATGTTTGCAAATTTATGAAAAATTTATAACTGAGATATTACAATGGCAAAGTATTGAGACCCTTTGCCACAACACTTGAAATTTAGCTCAGGTACCTGCCATTTCTCTTGATCATTGCTGAGATGTTTCTACACCTTGATTGGAGTCCACATGTGGTAAATTATAGTCATTGGACATGATTTGGAAAGGCCTACACCTCTCTATAAAAGGCCTCACAGTTGCTAATGCATACTGTATCTGGGGAATGCCATTTTTGCAAACTCTAAGCGAGCTTTCATGCGTTTTTGCACTGAGGAAAGCTTTCCGTCTAGTCTCTTTGCCATAAAGCCCATATTGGTGGAGAGCTGCAGTGATGGCTGTCCTTCTGGAACTTTGTTTCGTCTCCACACATGATCTCTGGAGCTCAGTGAGAGTGACGATCAGGTTCTTGGTCACCTCTCTTACTAAGGACCTTCTCCCCGATTGCCCAGTTTGGCCGGGTGACCAGCCCTGAAAGAGTTCTGGTTTGTGCCAAATATCTTACATTTGAGAGTTATGGAGGCTACTGTGCTCTGTGCAGCAGAATGTTGGGGGGATTTTTTTAGCTTTCGCCAGATACTGTATGTGCCTTGCAATAATCCTGCCCAATCAATTTAATTTACCACAGGTGGACTCCAATAAAGGTGTAGAAACATCTCAGGAACAATCAAGAGAAATAGGAGGCACCTGAGCTAAATTTCAAGTGTTGTTGCAAAGGATTTGAATACTTATGCAGGCCATAGACAGTTCGTTTATTGGCCGATTTTTCGGCCGAAAAACGAAACATCGGTCATTCTGTTGCCACCAATGATTGCAAATTTCGTTCGGCCGTTTTTTCACAAATTTTTCATCATGACCGATAAAAGAAATGAGGAGGAACCGCGAAAATCGGCCAATGACATTGCCCTACTAACGGTGCGAAAATCGGCCGATTATTCTTTCGGTCAAAAAATCGGCTAATAAACGAACTGTCTATGGCCTGCATTAGGCCAATGTGATATTTAACTTTTTTCTTTTTCATAAATTTGCAAACATTTCTAAATGAGAAAGATTGAGAAAAAAATATTTTAAACCATTGTATCAGGCTGCAACATAACAAAATATAAAAAAAAAAAGTGGAGGGGGTCTGAATATTTTACGAAAGCACTGTATTTATCTGTTACTTGTCAGTCTCTTGAAAATGACATGTACGTAGGGGTACAACTTTTTACTTTACAGAAAGAAGCCATACTTCATCAACACAAGAACTTCCACAGCATTCAGAAAGACATATTCAATTAGACAATCCTGCAACTACAGCAGATCTTTTGGGATCAAGAAGTCAACAAGGTATCGTGTCCTGTTGTCAAATTCTTAACATTTAAGAAAGCTCTTTTTTTTTTTCCCCAGACAAAATGTGAAACCAATTATTAAACTGCTTATGCCATCCAAGAAAAATTGCAAAAAAACAATCTTAAAGCAGTATTAAACCCAAAAAGATATATTCTGTTGCAGGTTTCCAGTTCTTGGATGTGGTGTCTGCATACAGTCAGGTCCATAAATATTGGGACATCGACACAATTCTAACATTTTTGGCTCTATACACCACCACAATGGATTTGAAATGAAACGAACAAGATGTGCTTTAACTGCAGACTGTCAGCTTTATTGTGAGGGTATTTACATCCAAATCAGGTGAACGGTGTAGGAATTACAACAGTTTGCATATGTGCCTCCCACTTGTTAAGGGACCAAAAGTAATGGGACAGAATAATAATCATAAATCAAACTTTCACTTTTTAATACTTGGTTGCAAATCCTTTGCAGTCAATTACAGCCTGAAGTCTGGAACGCATAGACATCACCAGACGCTGGGTTTCATCCCTGGTGATGCTCTGCCAGGCCTCTACTGCAACTGTCTTCAGTTCCTGCTTGTTCTTGGGGCATTTTCCCTTCAGTTTTTTCTTCAGCAAGTGAAATGCATGCTCAATCGGACTCAGGTCAGGTGATTGACTTGGCCATTGCATAAGATTCCACTTCTTTCCCTTAAAAAACTCTTTGGTTGCTTTTGCAGTATGCTTTGGGTCATTGTCCATCTGCACTGTGAAGTGGCGTCCAATGAGTTCTGAAGCATTTGGCTGAATATGGGCAGATAATATTGCCCAAAACACTTCAGAATTCATCCTGCTGCTTTTGTCAGCCGCCACATCATCAATAAATACAAGAGAACCAGTTCCATTGGCAGCCATACATGCCCACGCCATGACACTACCACCACCATGCTTCACTGATGAGGTGGTATGCTTAGGATCATGAGCAGTTCCTTTCCTTCTCCATACTCTTCTCTTCCCATCACTCTGGTACAAGTTGATCTTGGTCTCATCTGTCCATAGGATGTTGTTCCAGAACTGTGAAGGCTTTTTTAGATGTCGTTTGGCAAACTCTAATCTGCCCTTCCTGTTTTTGAGGCTCACCAATGGTTTACATCTTGTGGTGAACCCTCTGTATTCACTCTGGTGAAGTCTTCTCTTGATTGTTGACTTTGACACACATACACCTACCTCCTGGAGAGTGTTCTTGATCTGGCCAACTGTTGTGAAGGGTGTTTTCTTCACCAGGGAAGGAATTCTTCGGTCATCCACCACAGTTGTTTTCCGTGGTCTTCCGGGTCTTTTGGTGTTGCTGAGCTCACCGGTGCGTTCCTTCTTTTTAAGAATGTTCCAAACAGTTGTTTTGGCCACGCGTAATGTTTTTGCTATCTCTCTGATGGGTTTGTTTTGTTTTTTCAGCCTAATGATGGCTTGCTTCACTGATAGTGACAGCTCTTTGGATCTCATCTTGAGAGTTGACAGCAACAGATTCCAAATGCAAATAGCACACTTGAAATGAACTCTGGACCTTTTATCTGCTCATTGTAATTGGGATAATGATGGGAATAACACACACCTGGCCATGGAACAGCTGAGAAGCCAATTGTCCCATTACTTTTGGTCCCTTAACAAGTGGGAGGCACATATGCAAACTGTTATAATTCATACACCATTCACCTGATTTGGATGTAAATACCCTCAAATTAAAGCTGACAATCTGCAGTTAAAGCACATCTTGTTTGTTTCATTTCAAATCCATTGTGGTGGTGTATAGAGCCAAAAATGTTAGAATTGTGTTGATATCCCAATATTTATGGACCTGACTGTAACTTTTTTTTCTTTTTTAGGCTTTCTTTCTTTTATTTCCAGTAAGTCTGTTGTTTTTCAGCAGATCAAACTGTCCTGCAGATGTACGTAGAAGTTAGAGGGTTGAGACAAACTATTCACAACTGACGGGTGCTTATAATAATCAGCTTTTATTTATGTAAAACCATTATCCCAAAAGAAACAATAGTTTGCTGTAACTGCTTTAAAAAGTATTAGCTGCAGTTTGGATTCAATTTGTTTAGTGTATCTAAATCTGCTAATACAGCTAAACACTCCCCTCCCCCCAAACTAACAATGCTGCTGTCCAGAGGTGTCTCTGTTGCTCCTTCATTCAGAGTGTAAGCACTCTGATCTGGCCAGTAACACATCTCCTGTATTACAGGTGAAAACGGGGGAAAAAAAGCTCAAAAATAGAAAGTTTGCAGCCACCACATCTAATCATTGGTAAGCTGCAGTTTAATACTTTTAGGGCCAGTTCACACCACAAAACGCACTCTGGATACATTCTGGATACGTTTTTGCTTACAGTACACACCGCATGCAGTTCCGGTGCAGTTGTGATGCTATGTTTCAGTACAGTTCTGTGCAGAAAAAATTCAGCATGTTCTACTTTTTTTTTTTTTTTTTCTGCAACGGAAACTGACTGGAACTGACTTTGTGCGCTGTGTGAACTAGGGTCATTGGAATACATAGAAAACACTGCATGCATTTTTTATGCAGAAAAAAGATGCACTGGACTGCATCTAGTGTGAACTAGCACTAAAAGAGAAGTATAGCTAAAGCTATTTTTGCTGTACTTCTCCTGTAGGTCACAGGAGTGCAGTTTGTTCTGCACTCCTATGACCCATTTTCAGCTGACAGCGGGCTATAGTCTACTGTTGGCTGACGTTAGTCAGCTGGTCCAGGCTCTGAAAAGATCTCGACCATATGGTCGGTATTCACCCAGAAGTCTGGACTGGCACCTGGCTCAGCCTCTCAGCGATCCACCAAGAACCTGGCCCAGCCGCTCCTGCCCCCTTCACAGTCCAGTGTTTCAGTGAGCGCTGGAGGGGCAGAGCCGGCGGGGGGACAGGTGCAGTATCAAATCGATGCTGCATCTACCTATAGTAGGTGAGTGTATTTTTTAAACTCCATTCTTCTTTTTGTTAAGTTACTTGTAAGTTTTTAGTGATCCACTGCGATAGCAAATCCTTTAACTTGGATTTAATAAAAATGGAGTCACTGTCTACTGTAGCTACATTTATGAAAAATTAAAGTTAATTGATTCTATGAAGCTCAGACTCTGTACTTTCCTCCCCACCTGGACACTAGCTGGATTTATTTTCATTATTTGTCATTACAGAGCAGATAGTATTTCAGAGATCACCATTTGCTTCAGGTCTGGAGGCCTTCTCTCCTGTTCACTCTGACGAAATGTCTCTTCATGGATCCTCCTCTTCCTCAAGGTCCCAAATGGAACAAGTCAGAGTAACAGAGCTTCCTGTCTCTGCTGAAAACATGCAACAGGTGGAAGATTTGCTTGACCTATGGAGTGGTAATCTTAAGGTACACAGATTTCTGCTGATTTTTTTTTTCCTCTGCACTATTCATTGGTTAATTCACTGTGTTAACGTATCATTAGGGTACATGGAGTACCTAAATTTTGTTGGTGGGGAAAAGCAGAAATCTGATTATTGGAAGAGAGTTCCCAGCACAGGTAGAGAACTGACCACACTGTGTTCTGCCTAGTGTGGTCAATATTTAATAGGAAAGCAGAAGGACTGACAGGAACACCGGGGATTTCTCACAAAGGAAGCAATACAAAGAGAACAGGATACTTTTTCATACATGCACATGGTACACCAGGCACCAATCGGGAATATGAAATGTTGGGTTTACACATTCTTTAAGTCCTGTAAGTTGCAAAGTGGGCCTCCATGGATCGGACTTGTTTTTCAGCACATTCCACAGAGGCTTAATTAGATTGAGATCTGGAGAATTTGGAGGCCACTCTGCCAAGTCAACGCCTGGAATTCATTGTTGTTCCTCAAACCATTTTGGAACAATTTTTGCAGTGTGGAAGGGCACATTATTCTACTGAAAGAGGCCGCTTCCATCAGGGAATACAATTTCCATGAAGGGGTGTACTTGATCAGAATCCTTGTTTAGGTAGACTGTATGAGGTAGATTTACTAAACTGGAGAGTGCAAAATCTGGTGCAGCTGTGCATGGTAGCCAATCAGCTTCTAACTTCAGCTTGTTCAGTTAAGCTTTGACAATAAAACCTGGAAGCTGATTGGTTTCTGTGCACACTCCAGTTTTAGTAAATAAACCCTGTATGTCAATTAACAGCCACATGAATGGCAGGACCCAAGGTTTCCCATCAGAACACTGCTCGAAGCATCACGTTGCCTCCACCAGCTTGTCTTCTGTCCATACTGCATCTTGGTGCCATCTATTCCCCAAGTCACACGCACACAGCCATCCACATGATGTGAGAGAAACATTGATTAATCAGACCAGGCCACCTTCTTCCATTCCTCTGTGGTCCAATTATGATGCTCATGTGACCACTGTAAGCACTTTTTGACTATGGACACAAAACACCATGGACACCCTGACCAATCTGTAGCCACGCAGTCACACACACAACAGAGATGTTCATTTTTTCTGCTTTCAACAAAACAACTTCAGGGCCAACACATTTACTTGCTGCCTAATATATTCCATCGACTTGCAGATGCCATTGTAACAAGATAATCAATGTTATTCACTTAACCTGTCAGTGGTCGTAAAATCATGGCTGATCAGTGCATAGTTAAAGTGTAAGGCTTGATCCATAGTTCTTCCAGTGATAAGGTTGTTGGTGTATCTTTTGTAAATGTTGAGCCCTTTTTAAGCCCTGTATCCCATCTGTTTAAAACCTCATACACACTGCAGCTCAAAGAAGCTGCTCCTACAGGTGTTTGAGCTCTTTTGAGCATTTACATTTCACTGCCTATTAACCCCCCTCCATGTTAGACTATGTGTCCATGCACACTATAGGCGTTTTGATGAGTTTACAGGCAGAAAGGGGAAAAAAAAAGGGTTTGGGTTTTTTTTGCCTGTAAACCCCTATGCCTGTAACCTCTTGAAATCACCTATAATGTGTATGGACACATAGGGGTTGATTTACTAAAGCTGGAGAGTGCAAAATCTGGTGCAGTTCTGCTTAGAAACTAATCAGCTTCCAGGTTTTATTGTCAAAGCTTAAGTCCTCATGCACATAGGACGTGTTGATAACACTGGTAATGTTAGCTGTGTAAAGTCATGTTAAAAACGTGGGTTTTTTTAGCATTTTTGCATTGGCGTTTAGCGGCGTTTTGCCACGTCTAGCAGCGTTTTTCCACAATTTTGTTTGTGTTTTTGTAGCTTTTTTTTTTTTTTTTTTCTTTTTCTTTTTCTACCAAAAGAAATATTTTTTTTAACCAAAAGAAATTTTTTTTTTGTTCCCATGACCAAAAAAAAATAAATTTTTTTTTGGTCAAAAAACATCCAAAAACGCAGATTTGCGGCTTTTTACCACGTTTTTCAGCATTAGAGCTTTTTTACAGCTAAAAAACTCCTCTAGAAACCCACTAGCCCTGGGTTTTTTTCCAGCTAAAAAACATAGATTACAGTCTGTGCATGGACACATAGGATAACATGTGGGGGGGTTTACTAGCTGTAGAAAAAATTTTTTAAAAAGCCAAAAACAGCAGCTGTAAAAACATCAAGTGTGCATGAGGACTAATTGAACAAGCTGAAGTTAGAAGCTTATTGGCTACTATGCACAGCTGCACCAGATTGTGCACTCTTCAGTTTTAGTAAATCAACCCTATAGGTTAAAGCAGGCCATAGACGGGTCGAACATCAGGCAATTTTTAAAGAAAAGAAAAAAAAAAATCAGCCGACGTTACCACCAACATTAAAAAAAATAGGCCGATGTTCGACCCGTCTATGGCTGGCATTAACCCCATAACTTCTGTCCCTTGCAGAGACGGGAGCACACCATACAATGTGACAGCAATACAAATATATTATTTGGATTTACAGATGTTTTTATTTGGATACAGATGTTTTTATTTGGATACAAATAGATACATTTGTTGCAACCACAAGACTTTTTCATATAAAATATAATAGCAGACTTCTTCGTTCTTCTTTTCTTCCTCCTTTTCTTCCTTCTTCTTTCTTCTGTCACGGCTCATGCACAGATTTTTTTTTTTATTGGTAAAACGATTGGCCAATTTGCCCATTGTTGCCGGGAAAATCGGCCGATTGTCAAAATCGGCCGTGAATTTTCCAACATGACCGATTAAAAAAAAAAAAAAAAAAAAAAATTTGCAAAAACCCCGAAAAAACGGCCGACCATTAACCCACTAACGATGCGGAAATCGATCGATTTTCGACCCGTCTCTGGCCGGCATGTGACTTAACAGGCGGAAAACAGCTCAGCTGCCCATAGGAGCAGCTACTTTGAACTGCAGTGTGCATGAGGCCTAACTGATCCTAATTGTAGGCAGTGCTAAGCTGTTCTATTTCTGTTTCTTTTTTTCTTTACTTTTTCTTCACAGCTCTCTTACAACCTACAAAGGGTATACTTTGAAACTTCACTCTTCTAAATTTGAAATGACTGAAAAACAAGGCATTGCCTACCCTCCTGCTTTGTAAAAAACTGACTATAAAATAACAGGTGAACTTTCGGTGCAGATATTTTTATAGCAGAAGCACATAACTTGGGGCTGGATGACTCGTCCATTGATAAAATATGAGCTTTTTTTAACCGTAAATTTTCAGCACTTAAAGTAAACATAGTTTATTCAACCCAGCATAGAAATGGCCTTGACCATCAGAATTGGTACTTTCTATGTTTTGCCACTGTTGCTGTGTTTCTTGGTTTTTGATGCTTGTAACCGCTCTTTCACCAGCACGTTTGATATATCTGCATTTATGGGGCCAAGGCAGTATATACTATAACCTGACAGCCAATTGTTCATACCTGATAAATTATCATGGTCCTATTTTACCCCAGAAACCGCTTTCTAAATTGGACAAAAATCTGCCATTGGTTTGATGTAATCATCAAAATTAATGAAGTGGAGCTATAGGCAAAACTTTTATTTTCCTTTTGGATAGAGTAAAACCGGAGTCTCCGTGCCTGTTCACACTATGGAAACGCAGTCCAGAAGTGTTCTGGAAGTGTCTCCGCATGTGTGTTTTTTGATGGTTTTTTTACCACGTTCAAGTACAGTTCTGTGCAGAAAAAAATGCAGCCTGTTTTACTTTTTTTTTTTTTTTTTCTGCAACCATAACGCACTGGAACTGCAAGCACTGATGTAAACTATGACATTGATAAGCATATAACCTACTTTCTGTGCATTTTGGATACAGATAAAAAGCAACTGAAATACATTCTGAACATAGTTTGAACTGGCCCTAACACCTGTCAGTTTTTTTTTGTTTTTTTGCCAACTGTGTCCCATTGGGGAGATTGCCCTTCACTTCCTGTCTTATAGCCAAAACAGGAAGCAAGAGGAAATCCCTTCAAAATGAGGGAAATCTCTGGTAGTCACCAGAACTATTGACAAATTCCCCCTTATTCCTGTCCTGACAACAGGATTCGGGCAGCAATAAACATCTTACAGGTGTTCAAACCCCATCTCCTTTCTATTCAAATCTAAAATAACTTTTTTGTCTTTAGTAAAATTAAAAGGGGTTTTGAGCAGTATCTAATTTTGTAGAATATGAAAGTCAAATGGGCCAGTTTTTATGCAGGATTCCCTTTTTTTTCTTTGTCACTCACCCCAACTTGGGTTTCCTCTTACTGTTTGGCTTTCCTCTGCTAGCTATAACCATGCAGCATGAGCTTGGCATATCAATGATTATAGCGAGAACTTTATTCTTCTAACTGGCACGTACCTTTTAGTTCTACGAGTTATTGCGATGCTAACTACAACAGTGGCTGTGTTGAGGAAGTGGCAGTTGCGATGTTGTGAGGAAGTGGCAGTATCGATGTTGTGGGGCAGATCTGGATAGTGTAGTTAGGAGTATATGGTAATATACTGTATATAGTTATTTGAATTTTTTTCTTTCGCAGACAAATGTGATTACTGAGTTAGGGAAATGGAAACTCACAGTAATTGAGAATCACAAGCTGGAGATGAAGCAACAGAGTGAGAAGCATGCTGAACACATTACTCATCTGAGCAACCAGATAGACAACATCAAGGGCTTGCTGCAAACCTATGAAACATCTATACGCAGGAAGGATGAGGTAACAAGGCTCTGTGTAAATCTAAAATAGAGACTGGTTTTGAGAAATGCACTATAATTATTGGCAACATATCTATTTGGACAGAGTATCAGGAAGCTATGATGATTTGTGATACAAATGTACGCAACTCCTCCTCTTTGACCCACACATTGAATATCAGGGGTTGCCCAGCTTGTACCCCAGCTAACCATCTGTTTCAGGGCTGTGTAAATGCAGCTTAGGGGATGCCTGAGTACACAGTGGTGCTCAAGCGGTATTAAATCCAAAAATGAAATAAAAAATTCAATATACTGAAGTGTAACAATTCTTATGCAGGCCATACATGGTTTGAATTCTGAGCGATTTTTTTTTTCATCCGAAAATCGAAAACGTTTGCTCGGTAATCCGATGGTGCCATCAATGATTTCGAAAATCGGCCGACCAAATCATAAAGTTCACCCCATAGAACAGGCAAAACTTCTGTTCCTTCCAGGTCACGGCTCATGCGCATATTCTTTTCGGGAAAAATGATCGTACGATTTGACCATCATTGATTCGAAAATCAGTTGTTTTTCACAAATTTTCCAACATGCCTGATCACCGAAAAGGGGAGGAACTACAAAAATCGGCCGGTGCCATTGACCCACTAACAGAGCGAAAATCAGCCGATTTATTCTTATGTCCGATTTTCGGACTAAAAATCGGTTTAATTTTCGACCCATGTATGGTTGGCCTTTGATGTCCTGGCTGCATTGATTTCCTATTTTAGCGGGGGGGTTTTTTTTTTTTCTTTGTCACCTGGTGATCTGGTCAGTATGTCTGTTACTTTTCAGTTTTAACAAGTGTATCAGAATTGGCAGTTAGAGGGTTGAGACAAACCATTTAATGCTGGCACAGGTGCTTACAATGGTTAGCTCTTATACATTTATGTAAAACCTTTATCCCAAAAGGAAAATAAAAAACTGTTGCTGCAACTGCTTAAAAATTGTGCGCTGAAGTTTGGCTTTACAAATTACGGAGAGGTGAAACAAATCCTCTTACATAAGCTATACCTGTTTATCTGAAGTATTCTCTCCTCTACATCTGTTTAAAGTGCTGCTTTTACACAGCTTGTCTGAGCTTTCAGAAAGAAGGGGACAGAGAGCTGAAATTACACTCTGCAGAGTTTGGTGAGGAGAGCTCTGGAACAGCTTACAGGAACAGAGCTAAGGCTGTCAGTCTGCTGGAGGTCCCTCCACTGTAATTTTTTTTTCTCTTAGAAAATTTGTCAGAAGTGACTCATATTGATAGCAGAGGAATGAGACAGCAGACCGAAATGACTCTTTGTGCTCTTAATTGAGACAAGTACACATTATAGAGGATATGCTTTGTTCATATTTCATGTCTGAGGTTTAGAGCCCACTCACACTTCTGCGACTTGTCATGTGACTTTAGGGCCCAAAATCGCATGACAAGTCGCAACCCATGTTTCCCAATAAGTGCCATTCATATCTCTGTGACTTCAAGTCAGCAATTTGAAAGTAGTTCCTTTACTACTTTGATCCAACTTTCATGCAACTTGAGGGCCATAGGCTTCAATGTTAACCCTTCAAAGTCGCATGAAATTTGCCCCTGAATGATATGTGACTTGTGTGCAACGTTCGAGAGCACAAATAATCATCCTTGGTCAAAGCCAAAGTTGCACTCATCCAAAGTTGCGTCAAGTTGCACTGTAAAGTCGCAATGAAAATCGTACAATTTTGAAGTCGCACAAGTGTGAATTGAGCCTTACAACCACTTTAAAGTAATTCTATAAGCTTAAGCTTTTTTACCTTAATTTATTCTTTGCAAGTGACGCTAAAGCTTTTATTTTTTCTTGTTTTGTTTAAATAACAGACATATCTATACTTACCTGCTGTGTGATTTTGCACAGAGCAGCCCTGATCCTCTGTTTTGTAGGTCCCCCCGCCGCCGCTCCTGGCCCCTCCCACTCGAACACTGCCCCCAGGGAAAGTCACTCACCTTGGGGGCACCGCTGCAAGCTCTTCCCCGAGCCCATGCTCTATGCATCCATAAGACACAGAGCCGCGCCTCGGCCCCACCCCCCGCTCTGTTCTCATTGACTCACTGGCTGTGATTGACAGCAGCAGGAGCCAATGGCCTCCCGCTGCTGTCTCAGCCAATGAGGAGAAAGTGTTCCCAGACAGTAGAGGCTGTCGAGAATGTGACTGGATCGCAGGGGCCTCAGGTAAGGGTTGGGTACAGAATACATGAAGGTAAAAAACCTTAAGCCTTTAGGACCACTTTTAGATGAAAAATACTGTATCTCCTACCTTTCCTTATACTTACCTGAGCCCAGTCTCGATCCAGCACAATGCACAAGAGTAGTGGCTCTCTCCACTGTCTTCCTGCTCACAAGGCAGATTTTATAGGAGCTCCTGCTGCTGTCAATCAAATTCTCTGAAGAGGAATCAGGCAAAGCCCCACTGCATGTGCCAATAGACGCAGGCAGCGGGGCTCAAGCACGAGCTGACAACAGTACCCATCTTACCTAGCGGCTTTCTAGAGGGGATACACGGTAGGGGAGAGGAGCTAGGAGTGCCAGCGGGGGACCCTAGAAAAGAAGAATCAGAGCTGCTCTTTGCAAAGTCATTGCACAGAGCGCGTGCGTGTGCGTGCGTGTGTGTGTGTGTTCTTTTTTTTCTTTTTTTTAAAATAGGGTTTAATATTTTACTAAAATTCCTTAGATTGACAATGCTGCTGTTCAAAGGTATTTCTGTTGCTCATCCATCCATAGTGGGCACACCTTAAGACAGGAAGTGTGTTAATAGCCGGATTACCAGGTGAAAAATACTGGAAAAAAAACCTCATTGCAGCCACCAAATCTAAGGATTGATTAAAACCTTTTAACTATAAAAGAGAATGTAAATACAGAAATTGTAGTGTTACTTTATTCAGCGTAATGGGACTTGCTTTACAAAAGACTGGTTTATGATATTTTTAATACATTTCATAAAAAAGAACTCTCATGAAATTAAATGTTACCTATTTCCCCAGGGGATCAAGTGCATATGGCATTCAAAGCTGCGGTGTCTATCGCCAGCTGCTTTTACACACATACAGGATCCTGTAGCACTGTGATCTTTTTAACTTTTTCTCAATGAATGATCAGCAATGTCAGGTCAGTGCTGTGTATGACACAGCCCGCCACTGCTGATTAATTCATAAAATTGAAAAGTCAATCAGGGCTGCAGCACTGTGTGATCCATTGTCCGGATCTATGTATGTTTAGATGCAGCCACTGATAGACACAGCGCCGCAGGCTGTGTGATGTTTGTGAATGTCAGTACTGGTCTCCAGAGCAGCCCCTGCTGCCAGAGACCGGCACTGTCAATCAAAAATCCATCTTCTTTTTAACAGTGTGGACAGCCTGACCATGCTGCTAAGAAACCGAGGGATGGGTATGAAGAGGACCAAGTGCTGTATGTACTTGGTCCCCTGGGCGAGTAAATAAGATTTCTTCTTTAAAAGCAGACAAACTATTATACATTTTTAACATCTGGTAAACATAACCTCCTTTTAAAATGTATTTAAGTCCAAGAACAAACATATAATATATTTCAGCTTACCAGTCCTTAGTTATTGTAGTAGCATTCATTTTCTTAATTTCAGGCTTCTTTCCTTATTTTCACTTGTTGAACTTGCCATCAACACCCTTCCTGTCCTATGGTGGCAATGGTCTCTCACCATAGTGTGTCTGTAAAAGAACAGAGCCTATTGCCCTAGAGGAGGACTATGGAAACCTTCCCCTCCCCTTCCTTCTTCTCCATAACATAGAGGGGTTCTGTATTGCTCGGAAATAGCTGCAAACAATGTAAATAATGTAACTAATAATAGTGCAGTACAGGCAAAATGCACAGAAAGTTATCAGTTGACACAATTTCGGCAGAATCAATCTTCCAGCACATTATATTAAACACAATAAAAGAAAACTCGCATCTTTGCTCTGGTCTTCATAATTCATCTTCTCTGATGTATAAAGTTCAGTGCCCGACATGTCCATAGAACACTTGGCCGCTGCAGTTCTGAACAATTCCTCTGGGTGGCAGGAACACATCTACTACCAAAAACAAAAGAAGAAAGAGCACACGTCCACCCTAGTGTAAACCCAGTTATTATGTGAACAATTTAAAAGCTTAATGGAAACACCGGAGAGAGGAACACACTAAATGGTTGCTATGACGATGCATTTCGGAGGCGTGGCTATGCCTCTGAAATGCATCGTCATAGCAACCATCTAGTGTGTTCGCTTTCCTCTCTCTGGTGTTTCCATCCGTGTCCATAGTCACCACCTGCTGGACCGGGCGCATGCGCAGTAGGTCCCACAAGCTGTGCTCAATGGCGGTGACTTCACGAGGCTGTTTAAGAACACTTGAAGGAATCTCCTTCACGGACTGTGAGTCTGAATGTGAGTGAGACTGTGTCATCCTATCAAATGTGAGTGTATTAGATGAACTTTTAAATTGTTCATATAATAAATGGGTTAACACTAGTGCGTATGAGTGCTCTCTCTCGTTTTTGTACATTATAGAACATTTACGGATCAGATATTGTATATCTAAATATCTTCAATGGTATTGTTAAGATACTAAAAGAGACAACATGGGTTCATTGTTATGGTTTACATATCTTTAAATTAGCAGTATCCGCATAAATATATTCTTTACAAGTCACTGTTTACAGCAGTACGATAAAAAAAAAAAAAAAAAGGTATTTTTACCTTTTCCGAAACAACCCTTGAGTGCTTGTTGGGTAAAAGTACCTAGGCCCAGTCTGCCAAGGTGTTCTTGTGAGGAACATAATGGAGAATGTGGTTATTAGTCTGCTGTGGGCAGATCCCATGTAATCACGATATTCAGTGTTGTGTTCTGATCGAGCAGATAAAAGACAGCGGGGGGAGGGAGGGGGGGCCTAATTTATGCAAGAATGTGATTTTTACAGGGTGAAAGTCAGCAGGTTCTGAGCTGTGAGTGTGATAGATT